GAATGATGTGCCTTCTGCCATTTGCATGCGAGAGAAGAGAACCACAATAGCATGCGGATCAGAACCTGCCCCAAACCTCTGCCTCCTCTGGTTTCTAGTTTCTGCCTCTTAGTCAACAGCACAGTCATCGAGCCGAAGCACCGGTCAGTCTCAGTGGTTCCTTCCTTCCCTCACTACCGATAGCCAAAGTATGATCGAGTCCCATTGCTGCCACCTCCAGCATCCTGAGAGCCATTCCCTCTCTCCACCTCCTCTGCCACCACCCCAACCTTAGCCACTGTCTTCTCTTAGACCATTACCAAGGCTTGGTACCCCTCCCACTTCCTCTCATGCTTCTCTCCAGACCATTCTCCATATAGTGGCTGGGTTTTCAGAACATGCTCGGGATTTATCACCCCTTGCATTAAACCGAAATGTCATAGAATAAACCCAAGCTAAACAATGGTTTACAAAACCCTGCCCTGCGTAATCTGGCTCTTAGTTCTCTCTCCAGCCTCATCTCAAACTCTTCACCTTCCTGGCTGTGCTTCAGCCCTTCTGGCCTCTCTTATTCTTTATTTATTTTTCCCTAAAGCATTTTAATTGATTTGAGAGAGGAAAGGAGAGGAAGATAGAGCAGAAACATCAACGATGAAAGAGAACCATGAATAGGCTGCCTCCTGCACACATCCCACTGGGGATTGAGCCCATAACCCAGGCATATGCCCCAGGAATCAAACCGCGACCTCCTGGCTCACAGATTGACGCTCGACCACTGAGCCACGCCAGCCGGGCCAGGCCTCTCTTTTCCTTCCACAGGCAAAGCTCCTTGCTGCCTCTGCCTCCACACTTGTCCCAGCCAGCGGTTCTGCCTAGCTCCAAGGCTGACTAATTCTCCAGTGAGTCAAAAGCTCAATGTCACCTTCCTCATACAGGCCCTCCCAGATCACTTATCTAATCTTTGTTTATCTGCATCATACTGGTAGCCCTTATCACGTAACCAGAACTTCCTGTTTAATTTTTTTAAACTTTTTTTCAAAATATATTGATTTTTTTTACAGAGAGGAAGAGAGAGGGATAGAGAGTTTGAAACATCGATCAGCTGCCTCTTGCACACCCCCCACTGGGGATGTACCCGCAACCAAGGTACATGTCCTTGACCGGAATCGAACCTGGGACCTCTCAGTCTGCAGGCCGACGTTCTATCCACTGAGCCAAACCAGTTTTGGCCTGTTTAATTTTTTAAAAATTATTTATTCTGTCATCTTCGCTAAAATATATGCTGCACAAAGGTAGGGACCCTGATTATATTAATACTAGTCGAAGCCCAAAGCACAAAACTGCCTGGCACACATTGGCCCTTAAAGAATGAAACCATTACTGATTCTTTGAAGACAACCTGAATGGTTTCAGTATTTCCAGTCAGTCATTTCAATTCTGCTGCTAATCTGGCTAAAACGAACAAGACAACAGTTGGTAATTATCTCCATATGAGCTGCCACAACAAAATAGCACGGAAGGAGCGGGTGGCTTAAACAACAGATAGCTAATTTCTCACCGTTTTGGATGCCGGGAAGCCCAAGATCTTGGTGCCAACATGGCCAGTTTCTGGCGAGGACTCCCCCTGGCTTGTCGACGGCAGCGTGGTCCCCGCGTCTTACAGGCTTGACCCAGCGCAAGCTCTGGGTGTCTCTTCTCATAAAAGGAAACTGATCCCGTTGGATCGGGCCCCACCCTTATGACCTCACTTAACCTTAATTACTTCCCTAGAAGCTCCAGGTGCAGTCACATGGCGGGAGAGGCTGGGAGCTAGTGCTTCCAAATGTGAATTTTGGTGGATACAAACATCCAGTCCATAACAGTGACCTTCCCACATCGCTAACTCCTGGGAGGATTAGTTATTTATGTATATTAGTTATGTATTGCTTGCTGTGTAAGAACTGCCACCAGCTTTAAGCTATTTAAAACAACACACATTTATCATCACACAGTTTCTGTGGGTAAGGGGTTCGGACATGGCTTAGGTGTTTCCTCTGCTTCAGGGTCTCTCAGCAAGGCTGCCTTCCCGGTGTGAGGACCCGGGTCTCCTCTGACGGCTGGGCGGTGGAGGGACTCCCTTCCACACCGGTGTGTGGGTAGGATCAGTGTCCGGAAGCTGTTGGGTTGAAGGTGTCAGTGTCTTGCCAGCCGTTTGCTCAATGTTCTCTCAGTCCCTGGCCAAGGGGGCCTCTCCAATATAGGTGCTTGCTTCGTCAGGGCCCGGAAGTGGAGAAGACAAGAGCCTGCTCCCATCAGCTCATCTACAGCCTCACGTGACCTGAGCTTTGCTGAATCCCATTGGGTAAAAGCAGATCACAGGCTCCGCCTACACTCAAAGGCGTAGGTACCAGCAGGGAGGGATGACTGGGGGCCATCTTACAGGTGGCCTATCACACCAACTAAATCTTGTGTTACGCCTAATATTGTACTCCACCTAAATACACTACATAAAGACTTTGGATTACAGTTTGATTAATTTTCATTTTGAATTGCATTTATTGGGATGACATTGGTTAATAACATAGGTTTCCAGTGTGCCATTCTATAATACATCATCTATATATCGTATTGTGTTCACCACCCCAAGTCAAGTCTCCTTCCATCACCATATTCCTCCTTTATCCTCTCCTGCTGTCCCCCTTATTGTTTTTGTTTTTGTTTTTAGAGAGAAGGAGGAAAGGAGATGAAGAAAGAGAGAAACATTGATGTGGGAGAGAAACATCAAGCATCTGCTTCTCCCACGCATCCTGTCCAAAGATCAAACCCACCACCTGGGCATGTGCCCTGCCCAGGAATTAAACTGGCAACCTTTCAGGGCACAGGAAGACACTCAACCAATTGAGCCATGCTGGCTAGGGCCACCCCCAACCCCCTTAATTTTTTAACATAAAAAAACTACATTTTTATAGGAAATTAAATGGTAATTTTCTTTTCTATGGCAATGAATAGTTTCACATTTTAAGGAGTTTTTTTTTTTTTTTTTTTTAGCTTTAAAGACACATGGTATACTTTACTATATATATATATATATATATATATATATATAGAGAGAGAGAGAGAGAGAGAGAGAGAGAGAGAGAGAGAGAGAGGCTCAGTGCACAGCCCAGCCTGTCCCTCTCACAGTCCGGGAACCCTCGGGGGATGTCTGACTGACAGCTTAGGCCTGATTCCCTTGGGGAGAGGGCCAAGCCAGCTGTTGGACATCTTTAGCACTGCCACAGAGGTGGGAGAGGTTCCTTCCACCACCGCTGCACTGGCCAGCCATGAGCCTGGCTTCTGGCTGAGTAGTGCTCCCCTGGTGGTCAGTGCACATCATAGTGACTGGTCATTCCGCCATTCCATCAATTTGCATATTAGTCTTTTATTATGTAGGATGAGTTCTAGTTGTTCCACATCGCCCCCAACACTTGGTAAAATCAGTCCATCTAATTTTAGCTTTCTGGCAGCTTTGTATTAAAAATTTATTGAGATCCTTTTCATTTACATATCTATGATTAATGACTTTGAGCATTTGTTATATAATGACTGGTCATTAGATATCCTCTTTTTAAGAAGTGGTTGCTCATAGCTTCTGCCTATTTTTTTAATAAGGCATTTGTATCACTTATCCTGTCTTTTTATTCATATATATATATATATATATATATGTTAATGATATCAGGGAAAGGAAGATTGAGACAGAGAGAAACATCAATGGGCTGCCTCCTATATGCCCCACACTGGGGATAAAGCCTGCAACCTGGGCAAGTGCCCTTGACTGGAATCGAACCCGGGACCCTTCAGTCTGCAGGCCGATGCTCTATCCTTTGAGCCAAATGAGCTAGGACCAAGCTAATTTTGAAGTTGATAGTTCTGTATGGCCTATGAATGATGTTATAAATATCCAAAGGGCCTTTGGCAGAAAAAAGGTTCCCTCACCCTGTGCTAAGAGCTGAGGCAGAGAGAGAACGGGGACATGGCTTCCACTTGGGGTGAGGAAAAGGTTCCGGAGCTAGACAGTGGTGGTGAGTGAACAGGGAGCGCACTTAGTGTCACTGAACTGTACATGGTAACATGGTTACAACGACACATTTTATGTTCTGTGTATTGATCACAGTGAGAAAATAGCGCTGCTATATTCAGATTACATTATCTAAAGGGATGAAATAGATATACCGTTAAAATCAACCTAAACAAACTTCTCATTGGGTGTCATTCTGGGAAGGATAGGGCCTTTGGGATGGGAAGAGCCCGTAGGGTTGATTGCTCAGGCCTATGCTGTGCAGTTAGTTTGTTAAAAATATTCGGCCACTTTCTGGTGATGACGGATACTAGAATGTTTTGTTCTGTTACACAAGTGTTTCTGCCCCGAGGTTCCTAGTTATGTCTGTTTTCAACTTCATATACCTTGAGTCATACAGTATTTACCTTTGCAGCCAACTTCCTTTGTTCAGCCTTGTGTCTGTGATAATCTCCGACGCATGGGCTGGGCCCTGACCCTCGTCTCCAAAAGCAGCCTGGGGGGAGCCCGGCCCCGCTGACTCACTGGGCTCACAGAGCATCACGTCCTCACTGCTGTCCGTGTCCAACGCCACTGTGCCTGGGCCATGCATAGCACCTGTGTAAATTCACCAGCCTACCCATGCAAATAGTAGACCGTCCAGTGTTCCCCACCCCATCAGTCGTTACAAACAGCAGTGTGCAGACTGCGGAGACTAAGACTGACTCCCAAATAGCTGTGTGTCCGTGATCTCGTCACAGATACCTGACCAAATGCACCTTTCAAATACCATTGTAATGAAGGAGTCGCTCACTGCCATGTAGTTTTTCCTAATGATTTTACTTCATAAAATATTTGCTTCTGGGGGGCAAGGGGAGAGTAAGGAATTTTCCAAAAACTGGGAAAGCATATCGTAAAACAATTTTTCAAATTGCAATGTCAGTTACAATGTCGGCGTCATCTCCAACTCCGGACAGGGCTATGGCCCGGGGCCCGTCCAGCTTTACAGCGTTGCGGGATTGTGCTTGAAGAGATACTCTGCCTAAAAGTGAAGAAAGAATAAAGGCAAGCCAGCAGTTAGAAGTATTCAAGATATTTATGGGTCATATATTTGTACTATTAATGTATGCAATCTACACCAATAAAAGAATTAGATGCAAATTGACCATACCTTCATGACACACACCAGCCAAGCAGGAGTGAGTATGCAAATTAACCCAACAAAGAAGTTGGCTGCAAAGGTAAATACTGTATGACTCAAGGTATATGAAGTTGAAAACAGACATAACAAAGATGTTGGGTTGATTTGCATATTCAGTCACTGAGCAGCCAGAGGTAGGGCAGGACACATGACACAGGCATTCTGCACCATCCCAGCTGCTCCGGGCCTCCGGGCCGCATGGGAAGGCAAAAAGGCGACTCTGGACAGAGCAAAGGCGGTGCCAGCAGCCAGGGGAAGGAAAGCCCATTCTTGCACAAATCTTTGTGCATCAGGCCTTTAGTTTAAAAATAAAAGTGTACAAACCTTTTACTTTCAAACGAGTAATAAAAATCTTCTTATAGCTAAGTGCAATAAGCCAGCCAGAGAAAGACAAATACCATTATTATTTCACTTATAGGTGGAATCTGATGAACAAAGTAAGCAAACAAAATAGAAACAGACTCATAGCTAAAGAACAGACTGACAGCTGTTAGAAAGGAGGGGACCTGGGAGGCTGGGTGAAAAGGAGGAAGGGATTAAGGAAAAAAATAACTCATAGTCACAGACCACAGTATGGTGATTACAGGAGGAGCAGGGGGTGGGGGAGGTAGACAAGGGGAAAGGGGAATAAATGGTGACAGAAGGAGACCTGTCTTTGGATAGGGAACACACATGCAGTATACAGATGATGTGTTATATAATACACAACAATACAGATGTGTTGTATTCCTGAAACCTATTTAATTTTACTGACTAATGCTACTCAAATAAATTCAATAAAATTTTTTTAAATACTACCTAACAAAGAGGTGATATGCAAATTGACCATCACTCCAACACACAAGATGGCTGCCCCAATGTGGTCAAAGATGGCCATCCCTAAGTGGACACAAGATGGCCAGCACAGGAGAGCAGTTGTGGGCAATAAGGCCTGTAGGAAAGGGCAGTTGGAGTGGGGGACCAGGCCGTCAGGGGAGGGCAGTTAGAGGTGACCAGGCCATCAGGGGAGGGCAGTTAGTAGTTACCAGGCTGGCAGGGGAGAACAGTTAGGGGCAATCGGGCTGGCAGGGGAGCAGTTAGGTGTCGATCAGGCTGGCAGGAGAGTGATTAGGAGGTGATCAGGCTGGCAGGCAGAAAGGGTTAGGGGCAATCAGGCAGGCAGGCAGGAGGGAGGTTGGGAGCCAGAAGTCCTGGATTGTGAGAGGGATCCCAGATTGGAGAGTGTGCAGGCTGGGCTGAGGGACACCCACCTCTGTGCACAAGTTTTGTGCACAGGGCCTCTAGTCTTATTATAAACTGTGAAGGCATTAGAGGCTATTTCCCAAATGCCAGACACCCAATTTCTCTCTGTCAACTGGCTCCCCATTTAGATGCAGGTATATTTTATTTTCGAAGTGATATTAAAAGAACAAACACCCTCAATCTCTTACCAGAAAATCCACAGGGTCCTCTGGCCTGACCTTACAGCACTCGTTCAGACCCTGCATGAGCGTCGGCATAACGTAGGTCATTAAGTAGTTTCTCAGGGGAGCAGACTGGGCCTCGAGCAATTCAGTTTCTTCCCTTTTCACTTCTTCCAGCCGTCGATTCTACAAGTAGAACATGGGGGTGGGAGGTGGGAGGTGGGGGGGGGGGGCGTTAGAGAGTCAGAAATGGGAGGACACTGTCACACGACTCACCCCACAACGCATCAGAACTGGAGCCTGCCAGAAACGTTCACTGCGTTATTACAATGGAGGCCTTCCACCCGGCGGAGAATAGATAGGAACAGTGGTATAGCAATGAACTAGTCATTTAGGAAAAAGCAAGCTGGGTCCCTACCTCACTTCTTTTTTTTTTAAGAATCTTTTATTTTAATTTTTTTAAAATATATTTTATTGATTTTGTACAGAGAGGAAGGGAGAGAGATACAGGGTTAGAAATATCGATAAGAGAGAGTCATCAATCAGCTGCCTCTTGCACACCCCCTACTGGGAATATGCCCGCAACCAAGGTACATGCCCTTGACCGGAATCGAACCCGGGACCCTTCAGTCCCCAAGCCGACGCTCTATCCATTGAGCCAAACCAGTTTTGGCCCTACCTCACTTCTTAAACAGAAATCATTTCTAGCTGTCTAGATTAAGAAAAGAAGGGAGAGAGGAAGGAAGGGAGGGAAAGAGGGAGGGAGAGAAGGAGGGAGGGAGGGAAGGAGAGAGGGAGGGAGGGAAGGAGGGAGGGAGGGAGAGAGGGAGGGAGGGAAGGAGGGAGGGAGGGAGAGAGGGAGGGAGGGAGGGAGGGAGGGTCCTAGAATTGACAATAGAAAATCTAGAAAGCATTGGTCTGGTGGACATGCTATTCCATGCTCAGCATACAGCCACTGTCCCTTGGGGAAAATGATTCCATATTTCCTTTGAAAACTCTTCCTTCTCAGCCTAGGGTTTAGGTGGGACGCAAGTCCATCATTCCAGCCCCCTCCTGTCCATGGGCCACGTCAGGAAGGCCGAAGGTGACACGACAGGGACGAGGGAGCAGAGAGAGGGCTGCGAGGTCCTTGGTGCCTTCTGAGCCCTATACCAACCGTCGCCTGAAGCCAGCCCTCCCCTGGGTTTCTGCTATATGAATCCATCCCTTTTCTCTATTGCTAAGACACTTTTTAAAAATATATTTTATTGATTTTTTTTATAGAGAGGAAGGGAGAGAGACGATTAGAGAATCAGAAACATCAATGAGAGAGAAACATCAATCAGCTGCCTCCTGCACACTCCATACTGGGGATGTGCCTGCAACCAAGTGTACATGCCCTTGACCAGAATCGAACATGGGACCCTTCAGTCTGCAGTCCTACACTCTATCCACTGAGCTAAACTGGTTAGAGCTGCTAAGACATTTAAAATTCACTTTTCTGTCACCCTCAAGGTAAAGAATCCCAACTGATTTTTTAAGGAGGTCTTTCCTAGCAAGATAGCAAACCCAGGAATCAAAATGGGAGAAGACTGATGGATTTGACTGCAAATAAACACAAATATTGTTACTATATTTTTCACATATTTTTTAATATATTGATTTCGGAGAGGAGGGGAGAGGGAGATAAAAACGTCAATGATGAGAGAGAATCATGGATCGGCTGCCTCCAGCACACCCCACACTGGGGATCGAGCCTGCAACCCAGGCCTGTGCCTTGACCAGGAATCAAACCGTGACCTCCTGGTTCATAGGTTGAAGCTTGACCACTGAGCCACCTCAGCCAGCCTAGTAATCAATATTTTATGACCAGATGAAATACCATACGTGATGTTAACAGGTCAATGACGGCTGAGCTGAGAAAGAACTATTTGCAACCTATTATAAGAAGCTGAGATTTACCAAAACTGGTTTGGCTTAGTGGATAGAGCATTGGCCTGCGGACTGAAGGGTCCCAGGTTCGATTCCCGTCAAGGGCATGTACCTTGGTTGCGGGCACATCCCCGGTGGGAGGTGTGCAGGAGGCAGCTGATTGATGATTCTCTCTCATCAATGTTTCTAACTCTCTGTCCCTCTCTCTTTCTCTGTTAAAAAAAAATCAATAAAATATATATTAAAAAAGAAGAAGAAGAAGAAGAAGAAGAAGAAGAAGAAGAAGAAGAAGAAGAAGAGAAGCTGAGATTGGATGGCAGTGCAGTGCACAGTTTGCCAGGCAACTGTTTGCACGTCTGCACACACATCCACTCTCTCATGACCACAGCGACTCTCTGTAGCAGGTGCTGTCACCACCCCCATCTTCCACGCAGAGAGACTGGGACAGAGTGACACACGCAGGGCCACGGACCTGCAGAGAGTGGAGCAGGGTCCAGACAACGTGGATACCGGCGTCTCCTGGGCCATTCCTGTTTCTCTCGCCCAACCTGATCAGGAGTTATTCTTGCAAAATAATCAGGAAAAGACACACAGCTCAGGCATGGGCAGGGAAAGCGTGCAATGTAAGAAGGAATGTGATGCCCTGACATAGGGAATGTCGTTAAGCTGGTGATCAGAGACATGAACAATGAGATCAGTTTTTGTTCATCAGAGTGGTGTGTGTGCTCAGAACCGAGAAAGCAGGCTTGGGGGCCAGGGAACGTACACAAATCAACAGAAACCCAGCCGGTGTGGCTCAGTGGTGGAGTATCGACCTACGAACCAGGAGGTCATGGTTCGACACCTGGTCAGGCTCATGCCCGGGTTGCGGGCTCCATCCCCAGCAGGCAGCCTGCAGGAGGCAGCCGATCAGTGATTCTCTCTCATCACTGAACCTCCAGCATTGGTGTATTTGATATTATGCCAATGCTCCAACCCGAGCCGTCCGGCCAGGGCAGGGCAGGGGCTGAATTTTAAATATGGTTCGTGTCCAGGAAAGGCTCATTGGAAAGATGACCTTGAATAAAGATTTTTTTAGCCGAAACCGGTTTGGCTCAATGGATAGAGCATCAGCTTGGGGACTGAAGGTCCCGGGTTCGATTCCGGTCAAGGGCATGTACCTTGGTTGTGGGCATATCCCCAGTAGGGGGTGTGCAAGAGGCAACTGATCAATGACTCTCTCTCATCGATGTTTCTAACTCTGTATCTCTCTCCCTTCCTCTCTGTACAAAATCAATAAAATATATTTTTAAAAAAAGATTTTTTAAAAGGTGAGGAAGTGTGTCGTGCGGGTGGCACGTTTAGATGCGCTGGGAAATCTTAGAAGCAGCCGGGCCCCAAGGACCTTGGGGGCCACAATAGGAGTTTGGGCTTTCCTCTCAGGCGCTGGTGAGCCTGTGAGGAGAGGGAGCGGAGCGTGGCCCCGAGCACTGCCCTTCAGGAGGCTGCCTAGGCCGCAGGGGGAGCTGGGGAGACCCGAGGGAAGGCACAGCCCACCACCCAGGGAGGACCCGCTGCTCCCTGAGGAGCGAGAGCTAGGAGGCTCCGAGCTGCTGTCAGAGCAGCGGGGGGAGAGTGGGGGACGAGGACGGTGGAACGAGGCTGACACCCAGGACTGGGGGGGTGGGGGGGAAGGGATGGAGGGAAATGACTGAAAGCACAAGGTGGCCACACGTTAATACCGTGGGCGACGGCTTGTTACTGCTGTTGTGCTTTATACTGAGCAGGAGGTTGTGGGCATCGTTTTTAAAGGGGACGCATGACTATATAAACTAATAAACAAAGCTTACGTGGGGATGTCTGTGACATTTCTCTATCAGCACCATTGGAAGTGCAACTGGCCTAAATGGCTTTGCCAGGGGCCCCGTACACAGGTTCCCGTGCACCCCCAACACACACACACAAGCCGGCACAAGAATGCACACACTCAAGTCTGCACACACACCAGCCTGCACACATACACACAAGACTGCACACATGCACACACAAACAAGCCTGCACACACAAACAAGCCTGCACATGCATGCATACAGACATGCCTGCACACATAAGTCAGTAAAGACACACACACACACACACACACTCACCCACTCCTCCCAGCGAGCAATCTTCTCCGCCGTCTCCATGGCCTCCTTCTGCTCCCGTTCGGCCTCCATCATGGCCTCCCTGGCCAGGCGCTCCTCGGCCATCTTGCGCTCCTCCTCGGCCTTCTCCTCCTCCGACAGGCCGTAGTTCCGAGGGTCCCCGATCTCCTTGATGAGCCGCTTGATGGTGAGCCTGTTGTGAGCGTCTTCAAGCTTCCCTACATCTTTAAGCCGGGAGAGGAGGGCGGTCAGCCCGTGCGGACACCCTGGGCCGCCTGCAGCGCGCTCCGAGCCCTCGTTCAGGGAAATTCTTCAGCCGTCAACGTGTGGGGTCAGTGAGGTGGGTCACCATCCGGGGCATCCTTTCCTGGTGCCAGCACGGAGCAGGCTTTCCTGTCACCGCAATGTCAGGCCGGCCTGAGACACAGGTCGGGGGTGGACGGGAGGGGTGGGAGGGGTGGGGGGTGGACGGGAGGGCGGGGGGTGGACGGGAGAGGCGGGGGGGTGGATGGGAGGGGGGGTGGATGGGAGGAGCAGGGGGTGGACGGGAGGGATGGGGGAGGAAGGGAGGGGCGGGAGGGTGGACGGGAGGGATGGGGGTGGACGGGAGGGATGGGGGTGGACAGGAGGGATGGGGGTGGAAGGGAGGGGCGGGGGTGGACGGGAGGGGCGGGGGTGGACGGGAGGAATGGGGGTGGATGGGAGGGGCGGGGGTGGACGGGAGGGGTGAGAGGGATGGGGGTGGACGGGAGGGATGGGGGTGGACGGGAGGGGCGGGGGTGGACGGGAGGAATGGGGGTGGACGGGAGGGGCGGGGGTGGACGGGAGGAATGGGGGTGGACGGGAGGGGTGGGGGTGGACGGGAGGGGTGGGGGTGGTCGGGAGGGATGGGGGTGGATGGGAGGGATGGGGGTGGACTTCCTCAGAGGAGGGCATTCTCCAGCCCTAGAAGCAAGGACGGGAGGGGGGTTCCCACCGAGGGAAGACCTGCATCTGCTGGAGGCCGGGCTGGGTGACCCCCGGTTTCCTTTGCCGTCTGGTTCTGGGAATCAGTTCTTTCGGGACATGTTTTTAATGGGTTTTAGAAATTAACCACGGCAGTTAGCCTGCGTGAGGAGGAAAAAAGGCCCAGCTGCGGGCTGCCTGACTAATGTTCATGTCCGGACCAAGAGAAAAAGAGAGAAAGGCTTGTTAGTATCAACGAGTGCCCCCCCACCCCCATCCGACTGCACAGCCAATCCTCAGCCCGCTCCGCTCCCGGTGCTCCTGGGAGGTGTCTGCTCAGAGGGTGCCCCGTGGGCGCATTCACTACTCAGCCCTCCACTCCCTCCTCCCGGGGAGCCTCCCCGCTGCCCGTGCACACCCCGAGATGGCCCTCCCCCACCGTGGTCACTGTCACCCCGACCCAGACAGAGGCCCGGGCGCTAGCCTGGAAGAGGGCAGGACAGGGCAGTTTATCGGTTAGAGGCTCCCAACAAACCAGAGGAGGAAAGAGGCAGCCCCGCCAGCATGGCAGTGAGTCAGGCGGTCAGGGTTCGGTTCCCGGTCAGGGCACAGGCCCGGGTTGTGGCCTCGATCCCCAGTGTGGGGTGTGCAGGAGGCAGCCGACCCATGATTCTCTCTCATCATTGATGTTTCTCTCTCTCTCTCCCTCTCCCTTCTCTCTGAAATCAATTTTTAAAAAATGTTAAAAAAAGACAAAACCTCACGTGTGCCGGTGCCCACACGCTGACATTTAAATGCATTTTCCCGGATTCCTCCAGCGAGCTCAGCCCGGCTGCGCCCCGGGGGCCTCTGACCGTCTTTGAAAAGGCTCCCCCTCGGGGCGGCGCAGAGGACAGTGCTGCCCCAGCGCGACTGGCCCGGCCCTGGGGGCGCTGCGGGTGGGCCGGGAGGGCGCCTGGGCAGTGGGCGCCCCGTGGCCTCTGACCGGCCCTTCTGGGAATGTGGGTCGTGACTGAGAGTCACGTCCAGCTCTGCACTTGGCTCCTTTGTGGCCCAGAAACGCTGGGTGTGGCCATGCGAGCCCCAGAGGAGAGAGATGCTAGTCCACAGAGCGAGGGGAAAGGGGCGTGAGAGAAGGGGATGCAGACACAGAGCCGGGATGCGGTGCCAGCATCTTTCCAGGCCCTGCCAGACCCTCCGAGGCCAGGCTGCTCCCAGGACCTTGCCACCCCCCTGCGCCCCTCCTGGCCGTGCTTCTCTCCTTAGCTGTCCCGTCTCCTGGGTGTGGCGCGGAGTGGGGACAGCATGTCGGGCACAGAATGAGACAGGAACGCGACGGCCGCTCCTCCCTCCCCCGCCATCACTCTGTCTTTCTCGACGTTCCTCCCGGGGGTTCTCCTGACCTCCCCATAAGTAATTTCTGGGGTTTGTGGAGAAGACGACAGTGGCTGTTTTTGTGAAGTGTGCGTGCCATTCTCTCCTCGCTCTCTAATTAAGTGGGGCAGAGGCCTTTCCCAGTGAGTAGTACCAGGTCCTTACGTATAAAACATGTGACATGTGTCCAGTGTGCACAGACACAGGGAGGTGAGGGCGAGGCCCAGGCACTGCGGAGGGTGCCCAGTGGAGGGTGCCCAGTGGAGGGGTGCAGATCTGTAAGCAGCGGCACTGTTAACTCCTTAGTGGCCGTTGGGTGGCTGAGTGTTGGGAGTGAAAACAAAGTCACCGAGTTAGCACTCCTGCAATGAGCCAGACACTTCCTGCCCCTTACGGCTACTGCTTGGAACAGCTCTGCAAGCCAGGGATTACTGTCCCGTTTCACAGATAAGTAAACTGAGGCAGGTTCAGAGCTGGCATCGGCTCTCCTGCCCACACTACCTCTCAACCTCCCGATACTCCAGGGTCCGAATGCTGCCCCGTCTGGCTCTTGGGGGTGAAGAGAGAGACCTCGGGAGGCCCAAGGAGTTGGCCTGGCCACTAAGGTCCTGCCCAGCTCGGGCTTTATCCCCAGAGGAGGAAGAAGTGTCAGTGACCAGAGAATCAGAAAGGAGGTTTAGGGGTTCCCCCAGCCAAGGGGAGAGGAAACAGTGGTGCCAGCTGAGGTGTGGAGCCTGCACCGTGAGGGTGAGAGTGAGGGTGAGGGTGTGGGTGTGGGTGAGGGTGAGGGTGAGGATGATGGTGAGGGTGAGGGTGAGGGTGAGGGTGTGGGTGAGGGTGAGGGTGAGGGTGTGGGTGTGGGTGAGGGTGTGAGTGAGGGTGAGGTTGTGGGTGTGGGTGAGGGTGAGGGTGAGGGTGAGGGTATGGGTATGGGTGAGGGTGTGGGTGTGGGTGTGGGTGAGGGTGAGGGTGTGGGTGTGGGTGAGGGTGTGGGTGTGGGTGAGGGTGAGGGTGAGGGTGAGGATGAGGATGAGGGTGAGGGTGTGGGTGTGGGTGAGGGTGAGGGTGTGGGTGAGGGTGTGAGTGAGGGTGAGGGTGTGAGTGAGGGTGAGGGTGAAGGTGTGAGTGAGGGTGAGGATGTGGGTGAGGGTGAGGGTGAGGGTGAGGGTGAGGATGAGGATGAGGGTGAGGGTGTGGGTGTGGGTGAGGGTGTGGGTGTGGTGCGGGTGAGGGTGAGGGTGTGGGTGAGGGTGTGAGTGAGGGTGAGGGTGTGAGTGAGGGTGAGGGTGAAGGTGTGAGTGAGGGTGAGGATGTGGGTGAGGGTGAGGGTGAGGGTGAGGGTGAGGATGAGGATGAGGGTGAGGGTGTGGGTGAGGGTGTGAGTGAGGGTGAGGGTGTGAGTGAGGGTGAGGGTGTGGGTGTGGGTGAGGATGAGGGTGTGGGTGAGGGTGAGGGTGAGGGTGTGGGTGAGGGTGAGGGTGTGGGTGAGGGCGAAGGTGTGGGTGAGGGTGAAGTTGAGGGTGAAGGTGTGGGTGAGGGTGTGAGTGAGGGTGAAGGTGTGAGTGAGGGTGAGGATATGGGTGTGGGTAAGGGTGAGGGTGTGGGTGAGGATGAGGGTGAGGGTGATGGTGAGGACAAGGTTGATAAGAGCATGTTCCTGGGTGTTTGCTGGGAGCTGAACTCCGAGTCGTGTTTAGAGGAAACACAGGGATGCAGGGAAGAGCTGTTTGCTTTGCTGAGTAGCCACGGGGCCCAGCTGGCCAGTCGGCTGTTTGGCCGGTGCCCACAGCATTCCTGTGATGACATGCCGGCCCAGCAGCCGGCAGCCAGCACGTGTCTGTGAAATGCCCTTTAAAGCGTTGGTGTTCCAGCCTGGCCCGTGGGGCTCAGAGGTTGAGCGCTGGCCCGTGAACCAAGAGGTCACTGGCTCCATTCCCGGTCAATACGCAAGCCTGGGTTTTGGGCTTGATCCCCAGTAGGGGGTGTGCAAGAGGCAGCCAATCAATGATGCTTCTCTCTCATCAATGTTTCTCTCATTCTCTCCCTTGATCTTCCTCTCCCTCTAAAAGTAAAAAAATAAATATTATAATATAAATAAATAAATAAATAAATAAATAAATAAATAGCCCTAACCCGTTTGGCTCAGTGGATAGAGCATCGGCCTTCAGACTCAAGGGTCCCAGGTTCGATTCCGGTCAAGGGCATGTACCTTGGTTTCGGGCACATCCCCAGTAGGGTGTGTGCAAGGGGCAGCTGATTGATGTTTCTCTCTCATTGATGTTTCTAACTCTATCCCTCTCTCTTCCTCTCTCTCTAAAAATCAGTAAAACAAACAAACAAACAAACAAACAAACAAATAACAGTGTGGTATTCCACTGTCATAGCCTGTCCACGCGTTCTCACATAACCACACTCCACCGCCACGTCCTCACGCAGGACTCCCCAGGAGCAGGGTCTGGGGACCCGACCCCGGGGAGGCGCCCCGCCCTCCCCTCCAGGGGCCCGCGGCGGGCGTACCGATGTGAATGGGGTGGATCTCCAGCTCGTCAAAGTAGTTGAAGACGGTCTCGTCCTCGGTGTTGAGGTCGCGGAAGTTGCTGAGGGAGCGCAGGAACTGGTCCTGGCTGTAGTGCGTGCCCGCCACCACGCTCTCCGGCAGGTTCATCACCCGCAGCTTCAGGAACTCGTCCGAGCCGTCCAGCGAGCAGACGAACTCTGGGGGCAGAGCCGCCTGGGTGAGCCAGCGGCCGCCCAGGTTACCCAACCAGCGGGAAGGGGGGGGGGGCTGGTGAGCGGGGAGGACAGGAAAACGCCTGGTTGGCAGCTCAGACCTCCCCTTTGTGCAAATGGCCT